TCCAAAACATGAAAGTATACAGAGGGAAAAACCAATGAGCAGCCATGCATAATTAGGAACTAGCAGTTAGTCCAACTTGACAAGAGTCTAGGGGAAGAGTAACAAGAGACTAGAAAAGTAGGCTCAGACTGCATGTGGGGAGGCATTTGTCAGCTTTGTCTTGGCTGACCACCGGGACCCACGTGGAGAAATTCATAAAATAGAATGTCCTCTCTACTTTCTTGCTTTAGGAAGAAATCTGGCAAGCAGAAAGGTAAGAGTCTGGAAGACGCTAGAGGCATGGAGACTAATTTTGAGGTAGTTTTGACAGTTGAAGTGTAAGGTCGTAAAGAAGAGAATAAAAATACAATTCCTCAGTAAAAGAAGACAGCCAAAGCTTCAAAAAGTACTGAAAATGAAAAATCCACTGGCTAAGGGGACTCATTGGTTCTGAAGTTATGTCTGGGCAAGAAAGGCCACACAAAGATTCTGAAGCAAATGATTTTTGAGAAAGATGTTATTGAAGATTGCCACTGATAAAACTTAGTTGCAAGAGGGAAGTAGGGGGGTGTGGGGAAGGGGAGAAGGCAGCCGAGCAGAGTTCTCTACGTAGTGAAAGGAGGGAAGCAGAAGGGGAAGGGACAAGAGCTTCACAGAGCGTTAGAGCTGGGAGTATAAGGACGCACAGCCTGCAACTCTGAAGCCATATCTTTGAGTTTAATTTCTGGCTCTGCCACTTACTAGCTGTGTGACCATATGCCAGCTACTTAAACCCTCCAAATCGGAGTTCTTTCCCTGAAAAATAATCATAATAACTCTGTAAGCCTCTAACCCCATGAGGTTACTTATTGATACTTATTGTAGACACCATATAAAGTTTTACATTTACTGTAGTAAAATTAAAGAAGCCCTGATGTCACAGTGGTTAAGCACTTACAAGACTGATAACAAAAATCTTGGCGATTTGATCCCACCAGCTACGACACAAGAGAAAGTTGTGGCATCTTCTTCCATAAGGATTTACCGTCTTGGAAAACCCACAGGACCCCTTCTTCTCCATCCTACATGGCCACTATGAGTTAGAATCCATTCAAAGGCAATGGGATAAAATTGAATGGATATGTTCTTGATAGAGAGTATGAGGGATTTAATATAAGGTAAGTATCTCTAATGCCATAGTGTCTACACAGTGAGCTACTAACCACAAGGTCAGTGGTTCAAAACTACCAGTCGTTCCTCAGGAGAAAGATGAGGCTTTCTACTCCTATAAAGAATTACAGTCTTGGAAACACAAAAGAGCAGTCTGACCTGCTGCTGTAGGGTTACTATGAGTTGGAATGGACTCAATGGTAGAAACGTAAACTAAGTAGAGAGAACCAACCGGCCAACACACACACACACACACACACACACACACACACACACACACACACACACACAGAGGTTGCCATAGAATTAGTTCTGACTTATGGCAATCCCATGTGAATCATGTAGGATTATCCTCCATAAACTTTTTAGTGATTGATTCCAACCCCCAACTCTCTCTCCTCCCGCCCTGGAAGTAGTTTTCCAGGTGTCAGGTAGATCTGAATCACCGCATCTTCAGTTAGCTGTGTCTAGGGCATTCATTCTCTGTGCCACCTACAGACTGGAAGTTGAAACAAACAATTGTTAATTGATTAATTTGGCTAAAATATATTGAAGGCTTACTATGTGCCACTTGGCTATTGGGGACACAAAGAGATAAAAGCAGATGAAATAACCTCATAGAGATTATATTTTAATATCATGAATAGTTAATAAATAACCTCAAAAAGAATGCAGCAGTGCAGTAAGTGTGAATAAAGAAAAAGAAGCAGAGTAAGAGGTAACAGAGTGATTAAAGATGCTATGTCAGCATTGTGAATGAGGGGGAGTGTGGAGTGGGGACCCAGGGCCCATCTGTGAGAAATTGGACATCCCTTTGTAGAAGGGCTGTGGGGAGGAGATGAGGCAGTCAGGGTGCAGTGTAGCAATGATGAAACATACAATTTTCCTCTAGTTCTTGAATGCTTCCTCCCCCCACTATCATGATTCCAATTCTACCTTAAAAATCCAGCTGGACCGGAGGATGTACACTGGTACAGATAGGAACTGGAAACACAGGTAATCCAGGACAATTGAACCCCTCAGGACTGATGGTGAGAGTGGTGATACCAGGAGGGTGGAGGGAAGGTGGGGTATAAAGGGGAACAGATTACAAGGATCTACATATAACCTCCTCTCTGAGGCATGGACAGAGGAAAAGTGGGTGAAGGGAGATGTCAGATGCTGTAAGATATGGCAAAATAATAATAATTTATAAATTATCAAGGGTTCATCGGGGTGTGGGGAGGGGGGAGAGAGGGGAAAAATGAGGAGCTGAAACCAAGGGCTCAAGTAGAAAGCAAATGTTTTGAGAATGATGATGGCAACATATGTACAAATGTGCTTGACACAATGGATGGATGGATGGATGGATGGATGGATGGATGGATGGATGGATGGATGGATGGATTGTTGTATGAGCCCCCAATAAAATGATTAGAAAAAAAAGATGCTATGTTAAAGTGATGGTCCAGGAAGATCTCTTTGTAGGGAAGACATCTGAACACAGACCTCCATGAAGTGAGAGAGAAGCCATGTAACTATCCATGAACATAGTCTTGCAGGCAAAGAGAAGAGTCAGCACAAGGCACCGTGTGGGAGAATGTGCATAACATCCCAGGAACAGAAAGAGTTTGCCTGGATGAAATGGAATGGAATAGAAGCAGGAGGAGAGGTGAGGAATATGGTCATTGATTTCAGTGATTTATGTTATTGAGCTGAATTCCTTTTTGTAATTCACTAGAAGAAAGACATCAAGATAACAAAATGAATGCAGGTGGGTTAGTAGAGCTGATAATAAAAGAAAGGATACTGTTTTATGAGTGCTTTTCTGGGATGTGTAGGAAGCAAGAATGAGGAAGGAGAACAATATATATTAGATACCTACAAAAAAGAATAGATAACAAGCATCTTGTAAAGTGAGACAAATGACGGATAGTGGCATTTCAGGTAGGTGAGAGTTCATCTTAGGTTTCTACTCATACGTATCCAGTAGCAGCATGATTTTATTTTATTATAATGCTATCGGGTCAGAGCCAATGGCAAAGCTGATTTCATCAAAGTTGAGATTTATTCCAGTAAATACAGAAGGAAGACCTAGGAAGATGAGTGTATTTGCAAAAGATTGAAGTTAATAAATGAGTCTAGGATCTAAGTATGGAAGAAAATAAGGGCTTGGGCAGAAGGAAAGTCAATGGTAAGGTGACAGACGTCATTGACTACTGATCTTGGTGGGACTGAATGATGCATTCCTGGTAGGGGTGAGCAGGATAGGTAAAAGGTTGCGGAAAGATGATAGAAACTAACGTTTCATGTTGTCCCTCAGTGCCATCCCGTTGGTTCTGACTCACAGTGACCCTATGTACAACAGAACCAAACACCAGCCAGTCCGGCACCATCCACACGTGTTCTGTTTGAGCCCATTGTAGTGGTCAGTGTGGCAATCCATCTCTTGGAGGGCCTTCCTTTTTGTCAATGACCTCCCACTTTACCAAGCATGGGGTCCTTCTCCTGGGACGAGTCTCTCTGACAACCTATCCAACATACATGAGACAAAATCTCTCTGTCCTTTCCTTAAGACATAGTATGACAGCACTTCTTCAAAACATATTTTTGTTCTTTCGGTAGTTCATGGTACTTTCAATATTCTTGGCTAATACCTTAGTTCGATTTTTCGTCAGTCTTCCATATGCAACGTCCAATTTTCATATGCATATGAGGCCATTGAAAACTTGTCACCGTAGTCCTCAAAGTAACATCCTGGCCTTTTGGTACTGTCTTGTGCAGCAGATTTGTCTAATGCAATGCATCATTGGATCTCTTGGCTATTGCTTCCATGAGCATTGACTACGGACCCAAGCAAAATGAAGTCCCTAACAACTTCCATCTTTCCCCCTATTTATCATGGGCGACCCAGGGGTCTGGTTATGAAGATTGCCATCCTTGATCTTCATCAGCAAGTGTTTGAAGTCCTACTGATGTTCAGCAAACAAGATTGTGTCATCTGTCTATTGAAGGCTGTTAATAAGCCTTCCTCCAACCCTGATACCACATTCTTCTTCATATAATCCAGGTCCTCTGATGACTTGCTCAGCACACAGATTGAATATGTGTGGTCAGAGGAGACAACCCAACACACATTTTCCCTGATTTTAAACCATGCAGTATTCCCTTGTTCTGTGCATACAACATAAGAGATAATAGACACTGTCATTTCATGAAGAGTACCATTACTTGGTGCAATGTGTGATATGGATTTGATGAATTGAGGTGATGAGGAGCTAGCATCATTGATGGTAACATAAAGGAACTAAGAGTCCAGGAGACTGGATGGATTGGCTACATGGGTACTGTAACTGCCAAGATGGATCATAGAGGTAATTTGAAAGAAAATGATCCCCAGATGCTAATATCTTCACTGATAGTAGGACGATGACAGAAAACGACAAAAAGAGGGGTACTGGGTGAGTATGGGATATACTTGCTTCAAGAGAACTTTTTTGAATGAAAGCATTAGACCCAATTAAAAAGGGAAAAAATACAATGGTAATTAGAATAAGATCAATAACACCAAGAAAAATTCTCGTTCTTTTCACATCCATTCATATCAGAGTAGAACTGCTCCTGTGGGTTTCTGAGGGTGTAAATCTTGGTGGGGATAGAAAGCCTCGTCTTTCTTCCACGGAGGACTGGAGAGTTCAAACCACTGACCTTGAAGTTCGTAGTTCGATGTGCAGCCCACTAGCCTGCCAGATTCCTCGCAGATGTTTTTAATCATTGTTATCTTTACCAACAACTTTAGAAAGAATCATATTTTTGGACAGTTTTACGTTTTAGAGACAAGAAGTAGACAAACTGCAATTCCCTGCTTCATTAGGGCACCCATTTTTACTCACCAGGATTGTTGGACTGGGCATCCATGGGAATCATGAGTTTGGCCCGGGTGGCTCGACGGGCAGCCAGCGACCTCTCCAGAGTGGACATGGAGCTCCCTGCTTCTTCGGTGTCTTGGCCTGAAGAACACAGGAAAACAGAGCAATACTCTTAGGAGTTATATCTCCTTTAATGTTGCAATTCTTTTTATCCCAGTTAGGCACTAAAGTATGTTGAAAGTTTGACATTTGTTTCTAAAACGATTTACTTTCGTGTGACCCAAATACCAATTTTTAGCTGTACAAGGATGGGCTCCATCATAAGCATGGTTGTGAGAATAGTGTAAGTTGGGGGTCCCTCTGTTGTACACAGGGTGGATAAGAGTTGGGGACTCACTCAGCAGCACCGAACAACAGGATAAAGGAAGAGGATTGGCTATGCCTCATTGCCCAGAAAGTACCTAGATTTACATTGTCACGTTTTTAATTTTTATATATGGATATATAAAAGATCAATAAATAAGCATTGCCACAAAATCAGAAACTTGTATTTTAAAAGAGATACCAAAATGTGTAGCTACTCTTTCTCTATAGATCCTTCAGCTAGGTCTACATACTTGTTAGTGTTTCCTTCTCTCTAACCCTTCCCAAGAAGTTTACACTCTTTGATTTTCAAAATCCAGGCATCCAAAAGCAGTCGAGTGTCACCCATCTCCTTACCTCACTACTGTCAAGTCCATTCTGAGTCATAGCGACACTAAAGGACAGGGTAGAACCACCTCTGTGGGCTTCCAAAACTACATCTGCTTATGGGAATAGAAAGCCTCACGTTCTTCCCTTGAAGTGACTGGTGGTTTCAAACTGCTGACCTTGTGGTTAACAGCCCAACCTGTAACCACTGTTCCACCAAGCCCACACCCCCCTTTCCTCCCTCACAGTGACCCTGTATGTACAGAGTTTCCAAGGCTATAAATCTTTACAATTTACACCCTGTCAACACGACAGTTTTGACATCCTCAAGGGGCTCAAATTGTTTTCCTTTGAAATGTCCTTGGAGTTTTGAAGCCAAAAAGAAATCGCAAATGTCAGGATCAGGGCTGTAGGGTAACTAAGGTAAGTTTTATAAATGAAATTTCCAAAGAACAGCTGTAGATAGTATTGAAAAAAAAAACGAGCAAGTGCATTTTCATAATAGAGGGTGGGAACATTCTGTGTACTTTTCCTGGTCTTTTTACCAATTCCATTTTCTATTTTCTTAAAACGTCTTCATAATAAGCCTGCATAATTGCCCGGTATCCTTTGAGGAAACGGAGAGTATCCCCTTGAGAGTCCCCAAAGTCGTTGCCATACTCTGAGCTGACCTCTGTGCCTGGAATTCAACTAGCCCCGCACATCTCCTTGGAAGCCACTGTTTTGACTGGCTTTTTTTTTTTTTTGTAAGGCATCCTTACAAGATGAAGACAGATGAATTGCTGGGAGAACTTGCTGGCTGCCATTCCCTGATGGCAGAGGCATATTTAAAGTTATTTTGTTTGCAATCAATCCGTGCATGGATGAACTGCAATCCCCCCGGGTATCAATATTTTTTATCCTCAGAGAGGTAAAAGTTGGGAGTCTATATGCTAATAGATTGATTATTTTCCAAATGACATTCTATTATACATGCTATGTGTAATCTGCTTAAGAAAAGAAGATGGATACTTTTCTGTCAATAAATAAGTCAGAAATATAATTTTTAATGACTCCTATATTTATTGAATGAAGATTCCACAATTTATGCAAACAATGCTTTATGCTCAAAGACATTAACTATTATTAGAAAACAATGAGAAATGAGAAATATGATTTAAAAATAAAGTGACCATGTTTATATATGGCTCAGATCTAAGAATAGGAAAAACAGGAAAAGTATAAATAATTTCTACACTCTGGAGAAAAAATACTGTTTTGTTAGTGCTGCTAAAGCACAAAGCAATTCTGATTTCCACAGCTAAAGTAAAAATACCAAAAATTAATATCTAGCTTTTTCCAAATAGCCAATTTCATGGGCAGAGAACAAACACTTGTATAAAAGTACTATGCAAATTAATTGAAATTGGATCAATAAAGCATGAATTTTGGAACTAGATTGATTTTAAGTCCTGGCAGGCTGAGAGTAGCGCTGAAATCTTGGGCATGTTATTTACTTCCACTTGCTTTACTTATACTTTGGGAATGATCATAGGCTCTACCTCAAAGTATTTCAAAAGGGTTAAGTGATGCCATGTTGGCAAGCTCCTATAGCGGAATGTCGCGCATATCACGTTGGCTGTGTCTCAGAAACTCCAACAACAGGATTGCCTGTCATGGGCTTCCGTCATTCAGCTCAAAGAGCACAAAGGACCCTGAACATAAAGGGAAACTAGTGGAATTTTGAATGCTTGCTGTTGGCAGGAGAGAGTAGGAACCTGTCTGGGGGAGCATCCAAAGAACACCCCCCGGTTTAACAAATGACTAGAGGGGTTCCTAGAATTTAGCATCATTGTTATCCTTATGATTACACTACATCACCACAAAGCTAAAAGGTGAATCCGGGATGCTCGTAAGAACCACATCTTTCTTTGGGATGTGTCAGGTTTGGACAACTCAGACTAACCAATGAGTTCATCATTAGTGCATAGTGCTATTGTCCTGTTTCTATAGGAATGGCAAGTAGAATGAATATTTGTATATGCGGACAGATAGGCATAAACATAAATCCTAACATTCTCAAGAAAACAATCTTCATGTGAGCTTGTGTCTCCTCCCAATCTCATTTGTTAAACAAAACAAAAGAAAGGAGCCCTGTGATAAGCACTGGGCTGCTAACCTCAAGGTGGGCAAGTCAAACTCCAGGAGAAAGAGGGGGTGGGCCCCATAAAGATTGACAGTCTTGGAAATCCTATATTGGATCGCTATGAGTCAGAATTACTTCATGGTTCAGTTTTTGTTTGGGGGTACCATATTAAAAGACACTAAAACTGGTCTGGGTGCATTCAGTATAATGTTGGTTAATAAAAGATGAATCACACCAGCTCCTGTGATCACAAGGTGTCAAAAGAATCAAGTATCAGGCATCTAAGAACACAAAATCTTATTATTGTAAATGAGGGAGAGTCAGAGTGGAGACCCAAAGCCCATCGGTTGGTAATGGTACACCCCCCTACAGAAGGGTCGCGGGGAAGAGATGAGCCAGTCAGGGTGCAGTGTAGCAACAATGAAACATACAACTTTCCTCTAGTTATTAAATGCTTCCTCCCTCCCTCCCCTTACTATCATGACCTTAATTCTACCTTACAACTCCGGTTAGACCAGAGGGTGTACACTGTTACAGATAGGAACCGGAAACACAGGGAATCCAAGACAGATGATCCCTTCAGGACCAGTGGTGAGAGTGGTGATACCGGGAGGATGGAGGCAAGGTGGGGTAGAAAGGAGGAACTGATTACAAGGATCTACATATAACCACCTCTCTGTGGGATGGGCAACAGAAAAGTGGGTGAAGGGAGATGTCAGACAGTGTAAGACATGACAAAAGAATAATAACTTATAAATTATCAAGGGTTCCTGAGGGAGGGTGGTAGGGAGAGAGAGGGGAAAATGAGCTGATACCAAGGGCTTAAGTGGAGAGCAAGTGTTTTGAGAATGATGAGGGCAATGAATGTACACATGTGCTTGACACAATGGATGGATGGATGGATTGTGATAAGAGTTGTATGAGCCCCAATAAAATGATTAAAACAGTAAAAGATGAAGGGAAGAGGAAAAATGGGAACTCCTAGCAGCTATTGGCAAAAAATGTTTGAAAGCCGAAAGGCAATCCCATTCCCTCCCCTGGGAGGCCGGGGCTGCTCTCCTCTTCCAGATGTCCTACAAGGGACAGCATTGCAAAAGGAATCACCTGTATAGGATATGCTGCAAACGAGTTTTGTGTTTTATTCATTCTCGATGGAAACCTGTATAGGCCATGGGCTTGTAGTCCTGTTCTGTGTTTACCTAACCACCCAAATCTGTAATTGGTCAGAACAAGGCTCGGGGATAAGGGACCTATGGTAGAATCATAGCTCTCTCATCATTGTCTTGGCAAAGATGAATGAGCTTCTCCTGGGTTAAGTGACTTGAGTTCTCTTGCTGGGATACACCTAAGTTCACATTGGGTTCTTGAGGTTGACAGGCCTGGTGGGAGGGGGTTAAACTCTGGCTTGATGGTACACCTCATAGAAGTAGGAAGTGGAAGAATCAGCAAGGAAGAATGATGAGCAGGTAGAAGAGGTGTCCCTTCTGTTTCCCTTCCTCTACTGCCCCTGTTTCAGTCCAAAATGCTGGAGGGTTTAAAGACCACATTCTCCAGTGCCATAAATCTAAGCCAGCCATGGTGGAAGGGGTATCTTTTATTTAAATTTCAGGGTATAGTTTTCAAGAGGAGTAGACTGCAGTTTAATAACTGCAAGTGACAGGAAAGTTTAGAAACCGCCTGAAATATTATATAAGAGCTAGACAAGAACTAGTCAATAATTCATGATTGAAAATTTTGTAATTGAATCTCTTGTTTATATACTGCAGAACTGCGGAAGTTCAGCAAACAAGTTACACACTCAGATTGCCAAAATATTTTAACTTGGGGACTGGGGAGTTGCTGATGAAAGTATTTGATCGATTACTCTACAACCCAGAGGCATTTAGAAAATATGAGGACCCAGGAAATTAAATTGTCGTGCAACTACTTTCTAGATTTCTCAGTTCTTCTGAGACACAGATTTTTCTACACCAATCCATTATGAAGTAGGCTTTCTTGTTGGTACTTGACAAACCAATACAGCCTTCAGATAGACATCACACTAGGCTGGCAATCATCAAGTGTGATTACATAGGGATGGCAGATGATTTCCATGGTAATCAAGGCCAGAGTAATATAATAATCAATATTGTCATACTTTAAGAGCCTTGATCTGATTTTTGAAAGCAAGGAGTTGATAGTAAATTTAGCATCAATTTCAAATTGCCCCTAGAAATAGAGAACTGAAAAAAAATCCAGATGGTTTCCAATGGTATTGCTTTGCTAAAACTGGCTAAAAGATTCAACAAAAAACAGTCGATGCGTTTTGACTTCATATTTCATTATCTCCTAACTGTATCACCTCTAATCTCTTGGAACTTTCAAGAAGCCTTAAGCGTACAAAAAGCAAACAATGCCATTGATGGAGAAGAAAGATGTATACGAATGCCTTCTTTTATATCATTTTGCTTTACTGTGCTTCACAGACATTATGATTTTTACAAAGTGAATGTTTGCGACAACCCAACATCAAACACGTCTATAGGTACCATTTCTTCAATAGCACGTGCTCATTTTGTATTCTATGTTACATTTTGGTCATTCTCATGACATTTTAAACATTCCCACAGTGTTATTACACACTTTATAGACTGTAGTATAATGTGAACATGACTTTGTGTGCACTGGGAAAGGAAAACCATTATGTGACTTATTTTATGAAGATGTCTGCTTTATTGCTGTGGACTAGAATGGAAGCTATGATCTCTCTAAGTCATGTCCATGCAATTGACTAGACAAATATAGTTCTTTCAGGTTAATGTAGCTATTGATAAACAAATGACCCCTTCACTATCTGTCCTTGGGTTGATGGAAGTTCATGGTGAGCCCAAGGGTGTTAGAGGGGAACCGCGTACCATCAACTTTCCTTTCAAAGGTTGTGAGCTCTTGGAAGCAGATTGCCAGCCTCTGGACTGGAGGGATTTGAACTATAGTCACAGCCATGTGCTAACCTGTTTATACCACCCTCCCCAAACCTCACTGCCCTTGAGTCAATTCCAACTCATGGTCACCCTATAGGCCAGGGGAGAAGTGTCTGTGTGGACATCTAAGACTGTCATTCTCCGCAGGTGTGGAAAGCCTCATCTTTCTTCCGAGGAGTGGCTGGTGGTTGCAAACTGCTGACCTTGCAGTTAGGAGGTAGGGCCCTTGTTGTGACTGATTCCAACTCCCAGTGACCCTTTCAGAAAGGATAGAACTGCTGCAGAGGATTTGCTAAGGCTGAGACCTTTACGGCAGTAGATTGGCCTGTGTTTTCTCTGGGGGCGCTGCCTGGTGGGTTCAAACCACCCACCTCTACATTAGCAGTGTTTCTGAACCACTGTGCCACCAGAGTGCTTTACATGGCCCTTAATAACCTACAAATGAGCGTGAAGGATCGTTCCACCAGAGTGAGAACGAGAGAAAACCCCCCTGGGGGATTCAGAACGGGCTGCGTTCCTTGACAGCAGTGGCGGAACAGTACCTGAATGAGAGGTGCTTTTACTTCCCAGTTGGGTTTCAGACTGGCTGGGGCTGACTGGCGTGAGGTCTTGGCAGCTTTGGATGGGGGAGTTTCTTCCTGGATGGTCCGTGCCTGAAGGCTTCTCAATGTTTTTCATCTCCATTTCTTCATGATGGATCCAAAGATCGGGGGGCCGGAGGTCTTTCTGGCTGCCCTTCCTTTTGCCCACACTGTGAGTGGCCCGTTTCCTGTGGAACAAAGTTAGAAGGCACATGTGAAAGGCTCTCCTCAAGGTCCCTTCCTTTCCATTCCCCGTCAATGCCAGGGAGAAGCCGGGCCGCCAACAAAAGGACTCCCAGGAGGAACCCTGTGAAACCCAGGAATTGGCAGACACGTCTTGGCCGCCGCTCCTCTTCTCCCTGGAGCTTCCCCACATTGCAGGGGATGTGCTGCTGAATCCCGAGGGGCCCCCTGAGGCCTGCCAGAGCGCTCCAGACTGCAGTCTCCCTGGCTGGGGATTCACACAAGGTGACAATGGGTGAGATGGAGCCATATGCCCGTCTGTGGAGCGAGGCATAAGGTACCTGACGGCAACATCTGTTGAGGAGATAAATGAAGGCGCTGCTTTGAAAGGGCACATAGAAATAAAAAGGCCAGAACTGGTGCCAACAACCAAGATTGCGGCTTAGAGTAAAGTCTATGCCTCAGCTGGATGATTTAATGTGCCATGGGGAAGCTTCCGATTTGAAAACAAAAGCCACATGAGGACATTCGTAGAAGAATAAAACCCTTTAGCCTTGGCGTCCGTCCGTCTGGATTTAAAAAAAACGAGACCCATCTTTTCAAAGAGAAATTTAGAAATATGCTTCCCTGGCTTCCTCACTAAGTATTTAGCCAGCCTTCTTTCACTAGCATGTTCTTCTTCAGAGTTCGTGAGGTTCAAGTGCTCCCAACTGAAGAAGGACAACGCTCAGTTTAGGTCTAAACTGCAGCAGAGGTCCACGACCATGGGCCTCAGCCAAATGTAGGCCTCGATTTTTTCTGGAAATGAAGTTTGACTGGAACACAGACAAGTCCCAGTGGCTGCCGCACTGAAAGTTAACTAGTTGAGACAAGGGACGTCATGGTCCCCAAAGTCTAAAAATTACGTATGAGTTAATGATTTTCAGAAGTCATTTTCGAAGCCTGTTCTACTGTTTTATAACTGTGAATCCCTAATTGAAGCTTCTATGTTTCTTAAATTAAAGTCTCTTTGAATCTCGTCTTGGACGGCCCAGAGAAGCACCACTTACACTGCTCATCCACAATGGCAGATCGATGACAATAAGGGCCTATAAGGGCCTTTTGGGGTGGCTCAGATGAGCTGCTCTCCTGGAAAGGACTTCGTCAACTCTACAATGTCACTGACAGGGATTTTGGATTTCCAACCGCGGGACAAGAAGGTTCACACGCATTAGGTAATGCAGAAATGTTTGGTGGTGTAATCTGTTGAAGTTCTCTCGATTTATTGGGGCAGGGGTCTTTCTTAAAGCAAGATTGTGAAGAGAAGAAACATAATCGCACACTGTCTATCTCCCTTATAATTCCAAAGAGAAATGACCCAGAGCTTTCTGCTTTCATATTTTCCTAAACATGACCTGCCCTTTGCGGACATGCTGGCAGCAGGCCCACACTGTTTCTAGAAAATGGATGAAAATGACCAGGTCATTTCCCTTTGTGGAACTCACTAGTCACCATCCATTTATGTCCTTCCCCTTCACCTGCCCACAGGACACTGATCAATTTTGGTCATTTACCCTCTGTGACACAGAATAATTACAAATCATTCTCCAACGTAGCGGTTTCCTCCTGTTACCGCTCTTTCTACCAAGTGAAAAGAACGTCTACTCCCAGGCCACCTCCACCCTCTGATTGCTTCCAGAGAGAGAGGACAATTGTCAAAGCCAGGACACCAAAGTTCCAGGAGGACTCCAGGATTAAACACTTCATGATCAAGAAATCTGTCAAAGCCTTTTTGAAATTAGAAATATATAGTGAATCGGGTTTCTCCATGCATAGTCAATCACTCATTCATTCACGTGGAGTCCTGGAGTCTTCTTTGATGGAGCACGTGGCTACGTCCATAGCTGCACCTGGAGGATTAGAGAGTTAGGTCCCTCCCTCCTCCTCCTCCCCCAGCCCCCAGGCACCTCAGAAGAGAGGTTAGTGATGCTCTGCTAGAAGAGTCAGTCCTTGAAACCGGTATGAAGCACAGTCTCACATTCACCGAAATGGAGTGAGTCACCGTGTGTCGGAGCCCAGTCCAGAGCAAATGGAAAGAACTGACCTCAATAGTAAATATCCCTAAGAGTCTTCTATGAAAAACAATTTTTTTCCTAAACTTGGATTAAGGCAGACCTTTCTTTTGTGTGGTATAATTTGTAACTTACTTTTACTAAGAAATTTGCATTCCTGATAAAATTCTTTTTTTTTTTTTTTTGCAACCGCCCTGCCCCCACACACTCCCCCTGATAAAATTCTTAACCATTTATCAGAAGGGTTTTGATTAGAATAAGGCTTCATCTGACTGCTTTCCCTGAATCTAAAGATTTCTCAAAAGACTTTTTCTCCCTTTTTTGTACACAGTATGTCAATGAGCATCACCGCATTTGTTCTCTATAATGTCTTTTATCAAGAGAGAGACCTTTGGCTTGGAAAAGCAATCCCTGCCCCCTGCGCCCCCCAACCCCTGCGACCACACCACCCCGCACCTCCTTCATAGCAGGTTTGTAATTAAACCAAGTGCTCATAACTAAATTGTCTGACATTTGTTTTAAAACTTGTAGGAACAGCTGTCACCCTGACCTCCTACCCATCTGCTGGTTCCCTGGCATATTGGCTGCTGCCCATTGTGACCCATGACTCTCCTGTCGTATCTTTGCAAGCTCCAAAATCCTCTACACTGGCTCTTCGCTCAAAGGGTGGACATTGGAGCAGCAGCACGACCTGGGAATTGGTGGAGATGTGTACTGTCAGGCCCCAGGCCTTATGTGCACAATCAGAAACTCTCAATGCTTCAGCAGTTCACGGTGATGCTTATGCACCCGAAAGCAGGGCTCTAGTGAACGATTTACTTCTGCTTGATTTGATTCAAAAGCTAGTTTTTCTATTAGATACAGAAATTTCACATGCTAAATTCCTTCCCATTGAGACCTCATTTTCCCACAGGTAAATTTTTGTTTTGTTTTGTTTTTGCTTCCAAAAATAGCCTAAGAATAAGAGGGCCTCTTCTTCGCCCATGGACTTATTCTTCAAAGAAAACAAAGCAAGGACCTCACTACAGCTCTCTGCTTCTCCTTTTCTGCTCGGTCATGACAACGCTTTCATGACATGAGGAGGTAGCAGTGTGTTTATTTACTTACTTATGAATCACTTTCACCCAGAGTGACTTCACAATTTTATTTCTTTACCAGTGGATAGTTCTTGAAAATTTCCTTCAACCTTTTCTCCTTCAGAAAGCTATCCTGGCTACTTTAGACATGTGATCTTAGAATGTTTTAATCCTTTCCCAAATTTTCTCTATATCACTCATTTGTCTTTTTGTCTAGTTTTTCCTTGTGGCTTAATGAACTCTCACCAATGATAGACAAGCAGACACTGTTTCTTTGACTTCTCGAAGAGGCTTCATTGTTATGTATTTATTTATATACATGCTATCACTCGACTATGAAACACTTCTTGCTAAGTCTCTATTTAACTTGAATTTGTCAAATTTGGAACAGCTAAGCATGGATCATATCTAAGGTCAGTTGATAAAATGATTCTCTTAATATACAAGTGGTATATATATTGTTTACTTTTCTATGCATAAGACATACTAAATAAAGTCATCCAGATACACTGAAATTTCTTTGCCATAATAAATGATAGCAATATTTTTTCATGCCCATTGCAAATTAGGACTTGTTTGCTATCACAAGCCATTGTTAGAACATTACATTTTTAATATAATAGGCTTTCCAGGGGTTATTTCATACCTATAGGTTGCATATGAGTTATACTTTCATAACCCAGGACTGCCTACACATGATTATTCACTAATTTGTCAACTCTCTGAACATCTATGGAACATTGATGATATGATAAGAAATGTGCTTAGTACTAGAACTACAAAATGGGTAACACATCAGGAGCATCAGCCCATTGGTTACTAGGGATTTCTACTTTGTTAGAGTAAAACGTATGCTCTGTTGACAAAATTTAGTAAGGCTGAACAAGGAGATGGAGACTAAATCATGAGAGGTCTTGTCTCCAACGAAAATATTGTAATTACAATTAGAATATGGTGGGAAGTTAGAGGAGGATTTTAGCTCAAGATAACATTAATCCAACTTGTTATTTTCTATGATGCAGATCACAGAGTACATAGTGACTACATGGAATTAAAAATAAGTATTTTCATTTGTAGACTTGGAATTATTTTTTGCAAGTTTTATTAGCAATTCATTATCAGTCCACTGCTTCTGACATAACAGGATACTGTGAGGGCAGTGTCTTCTCTGTCCCTTTTAATGGACGTGATAGTTTAGGATGGCTAGTGATTTGGCAGTTCAGATCTAGCAACTCCTCCTGGTGAGATCTAACATAATAGAATTACTTTATTAATAAGATTGGCTATGAGCAGCCAGTCAATTGAAAGAACATTTTCTTAGAGATGTGGCCTGTTTTCAATATAAATGAACACTGTGGAAAAGTTTGTTGTCTTTTTGCTGAGTCTGGTTCCACATTTAGCCCAAGAACCTTCCATTCTTTGTACTTGTACCAAAGTCCTGCCTAGTTGCCTCTTGATGGACCGTGGCCTTCTAGCTGACCTGTTGACCTTAGATTTATTCATCTCTGCAGCCACATACCCGATGTCTTTCTACTGATCTTGGGTTCATCAGCCTCAGAGCTACACAACTCGGGAGAAATCTCCAGCTTAACATCTGACCTACAGACCTGGAACTTGCCTTCTTTCACATTTGTGTGAGCATTGTTTCTATATAAATTTACCTATAGACCTGGAACTTGCCTTCTTTCACATCTGTGTGAGCATTGTTTCTATATAAATTTACACACACACACATAATATTCACTAGCTTTATTTCTCTAGGGGACTCAGTCTAAGACCATATGTTGGAGAAGAGAATAGGTAAGCACTAATATTGATGGCACATTCAATTTATTAAACTGGGCTGATTGAAATGTGAATTTATTACACTAATTTCAT